ATCTGGGTCACCTCCAGACTAACCATATTTTGCAGGAGAGATTCAAGTACAGAATGTAAATTTAAGCTTGCACTATCACAGTGGATTAATCTCCCTAGCTTAACAAATCATTTCTTAATAACAAATTCAGACTTTTTCCAGTTAAGAAAATGACAGTGAAATGCACCAAAAGGTGTGGGATAAACAAATTATTAATGAGAAGGTTTATAAAGACTGCACAAGCAAATTCGGATGAATGATCACTGCCATGTCAATATAATGTTGCATGCCACCCCAATCTGTGAGTGGTGCAAGATTGCAGGGGTTCCAGGCTCGATTTTCATGGTTTGGTTTCCTAGGAATGAGGGACAGTGAATATTGCAGTGCCTTTATGATATATGGTTTATTTACACATATATACAACCTGAACCTACAATGGAGACATTCCCAGTATTACACTCCAAGAGGGTCCCTTGCGTCTCCCACAGCCGCAGCTTTAGATCCCAGTGGAAATCAGGCATGGCTCTAGCTCTCAGCCGCCCAGCCTGCAGCCTGCATCCAGCTTCTACCTCACACAACTCACCCTTGGCTTTTTTCTTTCTAACTAACTGACAATTGAGAGAGGGGGCCCTCACCCATTTGTTTTCTGACACAGAGCTACTTCCTTTGTTACCTTAATGACCCATACTTAGGGGCCATTACAAAGAAACTTGTCTGGCTACTCCAGCAATTGGATCCTTGTTGGATCTTGGAATTAGGAGGGACTCAGGCATATAGCCTACCCTTGCATCTGATGATGATGATAATGATAATAATGATAATGATAATAATATACAACCTGTCTGTGTACAAATCAGAATGAATGCTCAATAAAGACTGACCATGTAAGCTTTCTGCAAGAAAATCAGGACAAATGCTCAGTAAACAGGCTAGCTGGAGGAGACCCTGGTGCTCAGAGGCAGAATAAAAATTGGAAAAAGCTTTCACAGCCAATCTGGATGCTCTTGCCCAACCCAACCAAGAGAGGCCCTCCTACAATGAAGAGACGTATGGCAATTCCACAATAATTGGTTATATTTTTGAAGTTTTCTTGCTAATGTTTCGTTCGTGTTCTCAGAACATTGTTGAGGTGGCGGCAGTGCTTCCTTTTACAAGAGAGAGGTGCCAGGAGGACTCAGGCCTGCGTGGGAGCTTTGCCATCTGCCCTGGAAGGAAGCCATATGCTTCTTAGCTCTAAAGCAAAGATCACACATGCATTTTCAAGCGCTTTCGGGATTACTTGGGAATCTTCTCCAACTACAGTCAATGCGCATCTCCACCATTCACAGGTTACGCTTTTCCCACTTTCAATGTTACCCTGCCACACCATCCACTTTCCTAACCTGGAGGCTGCCCCCAAATGTGAACAGCTCTGTGCAACAACTGAGGATCAGTTGAGGTCAATTGAGGATGTAAATACAGTGGTACCTCGGGTTAAGTACTTAATTCATTCCAGAGGTCCATTCTTAACCTGAAACTGTTCTTAACCTGAAGCACCACTTTAGCTAATGGGGGCTCCCGCTGCCGCCGCTCCACCAGAGCACAATTTCTGTTCTCAACCAGAAGCAAAGTTCTTAACCCAAGGTACTATTTCTGAGTTAGCAGAGTCTGTAACCTGAAGCGTATGTAACTCGAGGTACCACTGTATGTGCTTTAGAGGTGAAACTCCTTTTCACATATGACAGGGGGATACAGAGACATGCAGGAGGTGCTAGAGTCCAGCAGTATAGCCTGGCCTAAAAAAATTGGGGAAGTGAAAACCAAGGAACTTAAAAGCACTTCTGCCCATAAAAGAGTAAGCCCCATAGAGTTTGACAGACCTTAATCCCAGGAATGTATGCACAGTGTGCAGAAGGGAATCCCTTTTCAGTTCAAGGGCTGCATTATTTTGCCTTTGGTGGTGGATCAAAAGTGGGCAGGGCAACACACATATGACTCTGACCTTTTAACCGTTGTTTACATTCCAACCAGGCAAAAACCAGATGTTTCTACACCTCGATCCAAGCAAGCAAGAGACATTATCACAGTTCAAGGGCACATTCAAACTAGCAAAAGCACTTGAGGAGGACCTGGAGCAGGGCTAGTTAATAGAGGCTTGAGGAGAGGGGCATGGTCTGTGTAGAACCATCTCAAGGGCTGTATTTGGCCTCTGGTCCCCTCACGCTGGGTGTTTAAGATCGGCACATGAAATTCCTGGATATAAGGATCCTAAAGGGCAAGTTAATTGCATGTCTTTGCCACGCAAATTTAATTATATTGATTTGGAAAGGGTGTGGTGCAGAGTTTAACAGGTCAGTAAATCCTGAATTATAGTATATCTGTATTGGCAAGTATATACACCCACTTGCTCACCTATGTCCCATTTAAAGCATACTCGAAGGCATACCAAGGGGTTGGTGAAATCAGCCCCTACCAGGGGTGCAGTCCATGGGGGTGGACAGTCATAAAAAGCACCTATCAGATTATGGAGTGTATGACATATATGTGTGTGGCAACACGCTATAACTGTCACAGCAAGATCAAACGCAGGAAAATCTTCCCATCCTTCTTGCACTGTGGTAAAGTGACTTTTTCAGTTGGGGGGCACCAATATAGCTCCTTGCCAAGGGTCCCGAGCTACGCCGCTCTGAACATGCTGCAACTCATGACAGAATCTGTTTGTTCATGGCTTTCGTTTGCCAGATTAGCCTCACAAATAATGGATTCTGAACATTTCATTGTTTTAAATTGTTGCTTTGGCAATCTCGTGCCATTTCACAGCTATCTATCATTTCTGATTAGTATAAAGAGAGTGAAAATAACTTCCACAGCTAAACTATCACATCAAACAAGACTTTCTCCTACAGAAGAATCTGTTCGAGAATTTACTAGACTCTGTCAATAGCTCATCCATTCTGCTTTGATCCTCCTCTTCAGCGGTAATTCATGTTGTGTAAGTTCATTCTTCACTGTATGAATCTGAATTAATTTGAATTAACTGTAATTAAATTTACTACCACCTGCCACTTGTAAGATAAAGATGTGGAAAAAGACTGATCAATTGAAGTCAATGGCAAGCATTCCCGGGGTTCCATAAAGGCAAGATTTTACCAGATTGCTTCATAAAGAAGGATTCCATTAGATGCCCTATTGGCACAACAAATCATACGTTATTATTTATAGAGAATTCCTGCTTTGCAGGGGGTTGGACTACATGACCCTCTAGGTCCCTCCCAACACTAAAATTCTATGACAACTGGAATTTTGGGTTTGAGTGTGATCTGCACAAAGCTGTGCACAAGAATTTTCTAAACACTTCACCTACATGTTAAAAAGATTATGGGGGAGAATATATAAGAATCCAATTGGTTTAGGAGTAATATAGCCATCTTAATTGTCTAGAGACTTTTCACGGTAACAATTTTAGCACTTGCAGTTATCATGGGAAGGTGCTATTCACATACAGTACAAGAGCATTTTGGTTTAATTTCCTTTTGTCTTTAACACCCTGAATCCAAGGGTCTTGCCTAATAACATAAGCCAAGGATTCTAGGGTGAAAATTTAAATAAATAGAGAGGCAAAAGTCAATCATAGGGCTGTTCACGTGTTATACTGAACACTGGTACAAACTGTCCCTATACACATACAAGTGTTTGTGTGACCAAGTATACTGGTTCATTTGTACTGCTCAGCCATTGCATTCCAAGGTGGATAAACTCATAGTTACCAAACATTACACATAATGTACTACTTTTTATGTACACAGGTGCATGGATTGTACACTTGTTGAATGTAACATGCGATCACCCATCAAATATTGTGCCATAAAGTAAAACCAATGGTGTGGTAAGCAATAGCCATTGGTGATTATGCAACAAGTTGGATTCCTGTAGAAAGCATTTTTGCTATAGCAAATTCTGCAAGAATGTACAGCAGGTAAAACAGGTCTTTCAAGCTTCTAAGGAAGGGACTAGTATTGATAGGAAATAATGCTTCTCAACAACTGCAATTATATCAAGAAAAGTTCTCTTTTGGCCTGATATTTTACAAACACCACCTGATATTCATAAAGCAGTCAGTACTTGTGCGGAGTCTCATATCTAGGGCCTTAGATTTACATTTACATCAACATTGTTCAGACAAACAGATTTTACAGTCTAATGTTTCCAATGGAATCTTGCTTGACTTTTGAAGAACGAAAACTACTGTGTTAAAAGAGCTGGAAAACCAACAGGATACGAGTTGTTTTTTACCCAAGAACTTTCCAACAGTAAGAGCTGTTTGACAGTGCAACAGACTCCCTCGGATGGTGGTGGACTCTCCTTTGTTGGAGATTTGTAAGCAGAGCTTGGATGGTCATCTGTCATGGATGCTTTAGTTGAGATGCCTGCATTGCACGGGATTGGACCAGACGACCCCCGGAGTCTCTTTCAACTCTGCAATTCTATGAATGCAAGGAAGAGGACGGAGTCCCTGACTGCCCTTCGTGAGGGCGGTGCGTGTCTGCTCCTAGACACCACCACCAATCCCTGGCCGCCCTGCCCACAATATGAGAAGAGGAAGTCACTAGGCAGCAGCAGTACATAGGGGGTGCGCCAAACTTGCTAAGAAGTTGTCTTCTTAGCAACCCCCCATGGAGCCAGCGCTCAGCAAAAATAAAAAACAACCCCTGCGTTGCTATGGTGACCCTATGGATTTAAATTTTTAGCGGTCTCTCCTCTCCTCCCCAAATCACCCTTCTTGTCAAATAAACTCGCCCCGCCCGCCCCAGAATCCCACAATTCCCCCGCCCCGAGGAACGTGCAATAGGCGAGGATAAGCACCGACGCCTGGCGCTTCTGCGCCTGCTCCCAGCGGCGCGCGCAGGTTCCTTAAGGCGGCCCCACCCTCCCTCGCTATTACAACCACCCGTAGAGAGGCCCCCCTGACGCATGCGCAACTCCTCTTCTCGAGCAGGCGCGAGGCTCTTCCCTTTTGCCTATTCCGAGGAGGAGGAGGAGGAGGGTGGGAACCGTGGCCGGGTGACGTCAAGGCGCGGCAGCCATTACACGGAGGGGAGAGAACCAGCGAGCTTCCGAGTAGCATCCGCCGCCTCCGCCACATTGCTGCTGCTCCTCTCGCCGCCTCTGAGGGACGGATCCGGCCCTTCCTGCCTCTCTGTCTCCTTCCCTGCTCCTCCGCTCGTCGTTTCTTTCCCAGCGAGAGGCAGTGCAGTCTCTGTGCGGAGGGGGAGGAGGAGGAGGAGGACGGCGGCGGGGGCTGGGCTGGGGCGGCGGGTGCCGGCGAGAGGCAGAAGAAGGGAGGAAGGGAGGAGGAGGAAGCGGGGGAAAGAGCGGCGGCGGCGGCGGCTGGGCGAGCAGCGAGGATGGAGGAGAAGGTCTTCACCAAGGAGCTCGACCAGTGGGTGGAGCAGCTGAACGAGTGCAAGCAGCTCTCCGAGGGCCAGGTGAAGAGCCTCTGCGAGAAGGTGGGTAGCCCGCGGCGCCTCCGAGGGAGACGGGGGGAGGGGATCCTGCCGGGGGCGGCGGCAGAAGGGACGAGCGGAGGCGGGAAACCGAGGCCGCTGCTTGGAAAGGGAGGGAGGCCCTTGGGGTGCCGGGGGACGTTCACCCGGGAAGGGTGCTCAGGTGGAGAGAGGGAGGGAGCGAGGAGAGCGGGGGTGGGGGGTCCTTCCTCGGAGGGAGAGAGGCGAGGGAGGAAGGTCTGCTTAGGCGACCTTTGGGGTGAGGAGCGAGATGGGGGGCAGGAGAGTCCCCCCATCCCAGCGCAGGGGTTCCGCAATTGGCGCAAGAGGCACCGTCGCGGTGGAAGGGCCGGAAAGGCCAAAGACGGATGGGGATTGTGGGGAGGGGGGAGCCCCACGGTGGATGAATAGCAGCTTCTGCCTCGAGCTGCTGCTAGTCGTGGGGACTCCGCTGAAGGGAGCAGGAAGGGCGGGTAGCGAGCGGGGTGTGTCCCTCGGGCAGGTGCAGTCTTTGGGGGGGAAAGGCCGCCGCCAGCGCTGCCTCCCCTCTCCAGCCTCCCACCCCCCTCCCGATCTGGAAGGGGGTATTTTGCCCCATGACCGGACGAGAGGATCGGTCCCCCCCCGGCAGCCCTGCGCCCCCTGTCGCATCGACCGCTTCTCTATCTAGTTCCTCCGCTCCTCCTTTTTTCCGCTGACTCTTAAAATGGCGCCTTTCGCTGAAAATACACAGTGCATTACTGTGCTGATAGAAACCCCCTTGTGCTTCTTAGCGGGCAAAGCCTTCTCTTTCTGTGGGGGGCGGCAGCAAGATCCTGGCGAAAAGAAAATCTTGACAAGACGTCAATGTACTTTGCACAGGCACACTTTTTTGTTTGGGTCGCTTACCACCAAGCCTTGTTCTGTTGCTTTGCGTTAGGGAAGGGACGATCTGGTCACTTGAACACTATCTGGGTGGTTAAGCATGAATGGGTAGCAGTTGGGAATAGTTAATAAGGAGAGAGGGGGAGAATAAGGGGGATAAAAGTGGCAAAGTATCCAATCTTTGTGTAGGGTTGTTTTGTATTGTTGCATGCAGTAATTGAATAATTATTGTCAAATTATTTCACCTTAGTACTTAAAAAAAATTCAATGCTATATTTATCTTAATTCCATGGACATAATGAATTTTTTTATGGGGAAGGGATTGACAAACTTGCCTCAATGTAAGTATGCCAAATACTAAATGACATCACATTAACCTGGCATGTTAAGATAGGAAGGTTTGAATTTCCTAATATATTTCAGGTAAATTTTATTATTGGAAGTTTACATAATCAGGGTAGTTACTAGTACATTGGACTGACAAGTTTTCATTGGAATTCTTAGAATTTATTTCTGCTTACTGTATTTTCTTGTGTGGCAGTTCGCCTGAGCACACTTAGTTGCAGGTTTCATTGGCATCTGTGTAAGGTACTTTTAAATGCCTCTGCTTGGGGTTGAGGTGTAAAACTGCTTGTAAAAGTATTGCTAATTAGCAACATGTTGAGCATGAGCCGTGTTGGCCGAGTTAACTATTGGGGTTCTTGTTTCTGTACAACTTAGCTGCTGTGGTAGCATATTATAGTCCCATATGAAGTCGGAATCAAGTCTACAGTATTCCAGTGCTATCTATACAGAAAATAGAATTGTGGGAATTCACTGCTGTTCAGACTGTAATGATTTGGGAAGCAGAATATATCATATAGTATGGCCTCATACTAATGTACAAAAGACAAAAGTCCTGTGCTACTCTTCCAGTCCCCAGCTTCTGCCTGTTGAATTCAACCTTGTGCTGTCACTTGCTGTTTACAGTGTGAGTCCATTTGTCCTGTGCAAAGTACCCAGAAGAATCAGATGTCCATAGCTTCTGGTGTGTGTATTGTGAAATGCTAGTTTGTGGAGTCACTTATTTCTTCAGTCTGGGAAAATTGGATTTTTTGTAGTCTTAACTGGTTTGGTTTCTAAAATGGCAAGCAAACTCTTCCTCTACATTCCTGGAGCTACCCAGTTTCCTACTGTATGTATATAACCTGGGGCAGTCTGAGGAGAGCAAGCAGTGACACAGAGCTAGATGTGTACTAGACGTGGTAACTTGTGGGCGCAACATGCATTTAATTTGTAGATTGTAAATCCCTTCACTTTTTGCAGCATTTTCTGCTGCTGAGGTGGATGTGACTAGGGTTTGAGACAAAGAAGTTCTTGCAACTATACAGTAGGGTATAAACATGTCTTTACTGTGCTGAAATACAAGAAAATTGAAATGCATGGAAGTCTCATAGATGTTCTTCCTTCAAATGACTGGTGCCAATGTGAAAACATAAGTAATGGTTGAAAGAGTTGTCTTGGCATTTTTAGCTTTTCTTTTTATTATCCCTTGTTATCTGGAGTGCTTCTTAAAGTTAGTATCAAGGGAAGTTTGTTAACTGTGGCACTAGAAACATACTTCAGTTTTTTGTTGTTAACCATATTTCATGGTTGACAAGGCTTCTGGGGCAAAACTAGCTGACAGCTTGTGAAAAGTACAGAAATAAAATCTTTCCCCTCTGGTTTACCCTAGTCCCCCCCCCCTTATAAATAAGTCCCAATTTCTCCCAATTATAATTTCTCCCAAACAAATAAGGAATATGCATTGGTGAACCCAAGTGAGAGCACTAATAAAATTTGTGTATGTCCTCCAGCCACCAATTTCCTCCCTCCAAGCAGAGCATTGCATTCTGTCTTCTGCATCTTTTCCTTTTCCTTTTCCAATTAGCATTTAATATTATCTGATGGCAGGTAGAGCATGCCCAGTGCTCATGGGGCTATTTTTAAGGTTGCCCCTTAATTTTGGGGGGTATTTCTGAAAACCTCTGTGCCTGACTTTTCTGATACCTTCCTCTGTTATCCTGTTTGCGTAAGCCACGTGAGTTTGTTATTAGTGGGGAATGATTTCTCTTTTTAAGTGAAATGTGTTTGGCCACACAGCTTCTAAGGAACATAGTTTGGCACTTATCAATTGTCGAAAATTCAGTTGGTCTGGAAGGTAGGCTTCTCAATAAACAGGTTTGTTTGGTGGAAAGCAAACATTTAGGGAGAAGTGCTTTATTATGATCATTTAGAAATACATTTCTTATTGATAGGTAAGAGTGTGCTTGAAACATTTTTTTATTCTGCAGAGAGAAGAAAAGATCACTTTCAGTATAATCAGCATATATTGCAGTCGAGGCAAAGAATAACAGATGGGTGTAGGAGGAATCACCTTTAGTGTAAAGAACAGTCAGAAATCTAAGGCAAAGTGCTTAAGAGGTGAGTCTAGATAAGTAACTGGGGTGTTTTGAGGTAATGAGATTAAATTTGCCTTGTTATCTAGTTTTGCCTGTTGGACTCCTAAAGAAATGACAGCAGGAAATACACCCACTGACACAGATATTGGAAATATACAAAAATACTTCTTCTACATGCTGCTCCTTCCTATTTGATAGGTTGATAGCAAGAGAAACCAACCTGCCTTCCCCAAGCTTCTTGCTTTTCACCTATCTCCAAAGCTGTAGATGGTCCTAATTGCCTTTTTAGTTCAAGTACTTCAGTAATAGAAAAGCAATCAAGAACTGGACCTAAAACTCAGAACTAAATTGAATGCTAATAGGAACCTGCTGGAAAGGAGTTTATAATACAGTATTCTCATAAGAATTAATGAAGCTTTTTGACCATTGTTTTAAGCTAGCAAGTTCCACTTCATTTGGTCTGCAGACTATAAACATAAAATACAGTATAGGGTTATCAATGCAACAGTAGCAGAACAACAGCATACATGCACACAAACTATATCTTTTAAGAGAATATAACAAAATTAACAATCAGAAATCGGTAAAAATGCAAACATTTTGAATGCCTCTAATAATTTTGGGCTGGTTTTGATGGCTACAGCAGAGAACCTGGCTCTGTTTTCTGTGATGTTGGGTTGAAGGCTGGCATTAAAGTTGAAAGATTGACTTTATCTGAAAGAGAAAGTATTGGGGAGGTAAATTTGGATCTTGTTATCCTGCATAATTTTTTAGGAACACAATTCAACTGATTTACTTTTGCAGGCACAAGCTCTTATCCAGCCTGGCAGAAGATAGGGTAGTGAATAGCCAGTGGTAAAAACTTTATTATTTAACCAGTTTTAGCAACAATCAAAACCTTTTCCTTGTGACCTCATTGTGAGAAGTGCAATAGGCTGCATCCTAAGAACTGTACTTATACGGCGGAAATCCATGTTGACTCATGTTATATTACCCCAAGGTACTATCCTAGTTAACAATCTAGTGGCTAAACTATAGCTTCTGGTCAGTGTTCAGAGGTAGCCCCACGCATAGCACTTTAACAATCTGAGTCCCTCCCCCCAAGCATGGATAACTGTCTAGGGCAGTGGTTTTCAACCAGTGTGCTGTGGCATCCTGGGGTGCCTTGAATGATGGTCAGGGGTGCCATGGGCAACACAGGCATCTGTCACTCTTTCCTTCCCTCCCTTCTCTGATGCCCTCTTGCATCTCTGCTTCTCAAAGGCTTGTGGTGGCTATTTGTTGCAACCGCCCTGGCTACAAGCTCCCTAGGCGAATGGTGCCTCTGGGAGTGGCCAGAGGGTGCTTCCCAGGCCCCTGTGGGGCAGTGTGAGGAGGCACGTCTCTTTGGGGCAGGGTGGGCAGTACACAAGACCAGGAGCGGCAGCGGCGGCTGCCCAGAGGAGGCCCAAGAAGAGGGGAGAGGAGGCTGAGAGAACACACTATCAGGGAGGGTGTTTGTAAAGGGGTGAGGGGCTGCTGGCTCTGGGCTGCTGAGGCTACTGAGCTCCTCAGGGGTGCGAGGAAAGAATGTAGTTGGCCAAGGGAGCTGTGGACCCAAAAAGGTTGAAAACCTCTGGTCTAGGCCAATCTAGGATTGGCCATTGCAGGCGTATCAACCTTGGCTTGATAAAAAAATGCTGTGTGTCACGAAAGCTACTTGGGCCTCCAATGACAAAG